TGGTTTCTGAGAAGCGTTCTTTTTTTGAGGGGGTGGTGGTGAAGGCCTAAGTCTAACCCACAGACATCCTAAAGAAGCAAGGCCCTAAGCCAAGCCAAAAGAAACCGTGGCCCTACAGGAGCGAAACCCTAAGCAAAACCAAACCAAACCCTAAAGAAGTGAAGCCTTGAGTCAAACCCACAGACATCCTAAAGAACTGAAGCCCTCAGTGAAACCGAAAGACATCCTAAAGAGCAAAGCCCTAAGGCAAACCAACCCCTCTGAAGAAGTGAAGCCCTAAGTGAAACCCAAGACATCCCAAAGGAGCCCTCACGTGAAGGCCTAAGTCCAACCCAAAGACATCCTAAAGAAGCAAAAGAAAACCTAAAGGAGCGAAACCCTAAGCAAAACAAAAACAGATCCTCGAGAAGTGAAGCCCTGAGTCAAACCCAAAGACATCCTGAAGAAGTGAAGCCCTAAGCTAAGACCAAAGAAACCCTAAAGGAGCGAGGCCCGAAGCAAAACCAAAAGAGACCCTAAAGAAGTGCAGGCTTATCCGACACTAAGACATCCTAGAGACGCAAAGCCGGAAGCCCAACCACATGAAACCCTAAAGGAGTGAAGCCTGAAGCAAAAGAAAAAAGACTAAAGAAGTGAAGCCCTAAGCCCCTCTCCACTGAAGCCCTAATGCCAACCCAAAAACATCTTAAAGAAGCAAGCCCCTCAGGCAAACCAAACGAAACCCTAAAAGAGCAAAGCCCTGAGCAAAACCAAACCCAGCTTCGCCAAAGCACGTAATTACCACGACCATGTGCACAAAACACAAAATGTTGAGCAAGAGATGCTGTTGAATTTGTGCCAAAGACATCCTAAAGAAGTGAAGCGATAAGGCAGGCCAAAAGAGACCCTCAAGAAGTAAAGCTCTAAGTCACAATCAAGGACATCCTAAAACAGCAAAGTCCTATGGCAAACCAGCCAGAAACCCTAAAGAAGCGAAGCCCTAAGTGAAACCCAATACATCCTAATGGAGGGAAGCCCTAAGCAAAACCAAACCAGGCCCTAAAGAAGTGAATCCCTGAGTCAAACCCAAAGACATCCTAAAGAAGTGAAGCCCTAAGTGAAAACGAAAGACATCCTAAAGTAGCAAAGCCCTAAGCCCAACCAACCAGAGACCCTAAAGAAGTGAAGCCCTAAGTGAAACCCAAGACATCCTAAAGGAGCCCTCACGTGAAGGCCTAATTCCAGCACAAAAACATCCTAAAGAAGCAAAAGAAAACCTAAAGGAGCGAAACCCTAAGCAAAACAAAAACAGATCCTCGAGAAGTGAAGCCCTGAGTCAAACCCAAAGACATCCTGAAGAAGTGAAGCCCGAAGCTAAGACCAAAGAAACCGTAAAGCCGAAGCCCGAAGCAAAACCAAAAGAGACCCTAAAGAAGCGCAGGCTTATCCGACCCTAAGACATCCTAAAGACGCAAAGTCCCAAGCCCAACCACATGAAACCCTAAAAGAGTGAAGCCTGAAGCAAAACCCAAAAGAACTAAAGAAGTGAAGGCCTAAGCCCCTCTCCATTGAAGCCCTAAGTCCAACCCAAAAACATCCTAAAGAAGCAAAGCCCCTAAGGCAAACCAAGAGAAACCACCTACCAAAAACACCCACTTAATCTCACCTACGAAAACCACTTCTTTATGAGTGTCTTCTATACTCTTACGGCGGCGGGCAGGTCCGGCCGGAGCTCACGTAACATGACCCTCTACGAGGATCGCGCGTGCCAAGTGTTCAAACGTGTAGTGAAACGTCGATCGCGTTTGACGCGTTTGACCTGGAGCGACCCTTTGCGAGGATCGTGCGTGTCATATGATAATGCGTGGTACAAAACGCTCGTTCTGGAGACTTCCGCGGCTCACTTTTGAAGGAAGTCTGGCACAAAACGCTCGTTCTGGAGACTTCTTCGGCTCACTTTTAGAGGAAGTCTCGTACGATACGCTCGTTCTGGAGACTTCCGCGGCTCGCCTTGGGAGAAGCCTCGTGTGACTCGCTCTCGCTCTCTCTCTCTCTCTCTCTCTGTCTCTCTCTCTCTCTCTCTACTTGCGCGGCTCACTTTTGAAGGAGGTCTCGTACAAAACGCTCGTTCTGGAGACTTCCGCAGCTCACTTTTGAAGTCTCGCACAAAACGCTCGTTCTGGAGACTTCCGCGGCTCACTTTTGGAGGAAGTCTCGTACGATACGCTCGTTCTGGAGACTTCCGCGGCTCACTTTTTGGAGGAAGTCTCGTACGAAACACTCATTTTCACTAGCAAATGCTACCTTCGAAGCACTACCGAATGACGCGTGTTCCAAAATGAGCCGCGCAATTGGTCTCACGCTGCAGTCCCGGAGAGTTTTCTTTTCGTCCCGGTTCCAAAATGAGCCAGGTTCCAAAATGAGCCGCTTCTAGGTTCCAAAATGAGCCGTGTACCCCGAGCTACTAGGTCCCCGCTTATGTGTTGTGATCCTTGCACAGCCCAGTGCCACAAGAACCCAAGTGCATAAATCAAGTGCTGTGCCATTCCTGTGCAGAAAGCACTGTAAGCCTCTAAGACTCTAATCTGAGGTTGTGAGTTATATTTTGTGTTTTTGTCTATGTGCCGGTATGCTATGCTAACTGCGGTTTGGAGAAACATTGGAGAACGATATGGACCCCACCAAAAACGATAATCATGTCAAATGGTATTTGGCTACACAAGTAATTTTGTCCGCTGCTCATATCCTTATTATAGCACCTTTGCAAGTACCGGATACGTGAGGGTGGCTACGGCGATTGGCGAACCGACGCAGTTGCTGCAGCTGCAGCTGGAGAAGGCGCAGGTTGCACGTCAATGTTTCTTAGCTTCAGCAAGGGATGGAACACGTCAAGAAGATGACCCATTTAGCGCGATGTATATAGTGGAAATCACATCGTTTGGAGCCCTGCTCTACTGCTACTTCACAAGGTGAGGGATTAGTTTTAAGCATTTGTTATTGTTTTTGTTCAACAAGCTCAAGCATGCCAGCGTTTGCAGACGAGTTGAGTTTTGATGACGTTTGTGGCCTAGGTTTGTACAACCGATGAAGTGACGTCCTGAGTCCTCGGTCGTGACATATTTTTATGTTAGACCTCTAGATGTAGTTTGCAAAGCCGAACAGGGTCCCTTCAGCTAGGCATTTTTGCACTTGATACAAACATGGCATCCAACGGAGTGTTGCTAAAAGATAGGGCATTGGCTGTGTTGTGGTTTTGAAGTTGGACGGTCCACGGAAGGCCTTTACTTTTGATCGTGCAACAGAGAATGCAAACACTGAATCGTCCGCATGCAAACTGGGTTTTGAATGAAGGTGGATGGGTGACATCAGCACGCAAACAGGCCGTTTGCAACTCAGTTGGTAACGGCATTGGTTTGATGAGATTTGCACAATGAGGCTTTGTACTGGAATCGGACAGGACATGGGTATGTCACGATTTTTTTCATGGTCTCCGAACGAGGTGTTTGTTACGACAAATTAGCGGTCTTTATTCTTCATACATAGGAATGTTAACATGTGCTTGACTCAGGTCTCATTTGCGGCAATGCGATTTGCAAGCAGAAGCTAGGAGGCTTTAGCCAATCACCCAGATTGTCATCTCCACACTGAAGGTGCATATACTATACTATACAGTACACGTGGGTATATAATTACGGTTAGCAGTTAGCAGTTTGCTTTGGTGGGTCATGGTTTTCTCTCCTGATGCCAAGGTTGGCATGGCTTGCCATGCTCTTGTGGTGAATGGCAGCAGCTTAGAAGCAGTTGCATTCCTTTCCCTTTTCCTTCAACATTCCTTTTGGCTTCATTCCCAGGAGTCCTGCTTTTCAAATCCACACTGCTCGTTTGGACGCCCAGAAAGCAGTTCAAGCATTCAAGGCGGCCTGCAAAAAGAGAGTATTCATGAAGAACAGCATCGACTGTTTCCAAGGCCTTGATTGCATGCCCGCAGATGGGCAAGTTCGTGGCCCAACGCCAGAAGCAGTCTTTGACGAAAAAGACCAAGAGGGAGCGACATTGCTCCATTGCAATCAAACGAGGTCCTTACACTTGAATTTTATCCTTTCAGCTCTAGCTCAATGTGCTGTTAATGCAGCCTTGTATGATGGTGGGTCACGCGCGAGCAATGATTTGTCTCCGAGGCTGTTTCCGATCACCATCCCCCCAAAAAGATGAAATTGTAAACAAGGGCACCACCATACATGATATTTCCACTATCCATCCACACATGCATCCTCGATCCATTCTTCTTTCTTGGGTCCATACCTCTACCTTTACATACCTCTATTCACCAATGCATCAATTTTTACTTCCGCGTCCCTCATCGCGACACTGACAAATCTCTAAGAGCAATCTAGCGAAAGTCCATGAAAGATGAGGACAAGGGGATGAGCACCTGTGTTTTAAGTGCAACTTTCAGCAGATCAGGGAGATGACACAGGTGTGCGAGGTGGCTGTTGCCACCCACCAAGAGGCATTCAGGAACCACCTCCCGGAAGCCTGATCAGCCACTCAGAATGTCGGTGATCCTTGCAGCTGCGTTTAACATCCTGTCCAGTGTCGGATCCTCAGCCTCACAAATGCCAGAAGTGCTTTCAAATAGTCAGAGCTGTTGCCAGCAAGGTGAGTATCATCTTGGTAAACAAACAACTTGCTTCAGCATGTGGCCTCAAGCCTAGCTCAGCTAGAGCCATGCCAGCCAGAGTTGTAAACCTTTGAAAGACCCAGCTTGAGCTGCCAAGGCTTCGACTTCATTCTTACGATGCTTTTTCTCAACTTCCTGACCACTGCGTAAGGGTCCAAAGATGATTTGTCAAGGATCATGTTGCACTTGAGCGGCCTTTGGTCATGGCTTTGTCTGAATCCCAGGTCTTTGCTTGAATGCCTAGCGAAGCTTCGCTGGTTCGAGAAGAAGCACTTGCCAAATAGAGATCGATCCCTTTCTGCAAGCAGACACTCAAACGGCGTGCTTTGTTGGACATGTTTGCCTTGTGGCTTTGCAATGGACACAGTCCTCTTTACACTTACTGCACTTATCGCAATTGGTTTCGTCCGCTTGCTTCCAGGATGGATCGTTGCAGGCGTTTGAGCACACTTGCAGTCTACTCCTCCATTGGAGCTAGACAATGTTGTGTTGTCCTGTTGTACAAGGGTGAGGTGGCCATACATAGCCTGTCCTGTTTCACTACTTTGCATCACATTTGCAGCATTACTGACGGAAGAGGCATGGCGCTCAGCACGGTCCTACTCAACAATTGCAGCAACGAGGCAATGGCAATGGGGCTTGAAGAAATCGTGATGGTTAAAGACAGTGCAGTCAGCAGCAAACATTTACATAAGGATCATTGAACATCTCAATCTCAAGGGCCAAACGAAGACGGGATTTGACTTGAAGACTTGAAGGGGTTCACCTTTCTTGGCACACTTTGTCATACATTCCACTCAGTCTGAGAGCTTTTCGACTGTCGCTTCACATACTGGCTTACAGGGAAGGAAAATACGCAGCCAATATCTTCTACAGATTTGATATTCTGCCGGAAGCATGAATCAGTAGATGTAGATGGCAGGCTCGCATCTCGCTTGTTTCAGAACCAAGATGTTTTTTTTGCCATCACTGGATGTTCTTTCTTAGGGGCATTCGGAACATCTATATTCAATGTAAATGCAGCAGAACACACCGTGCAATCAGTGCAAAGTTTGACCTGTGCTAATTCAAAAGTGGTGGTGTCTTCAGTCACATCACAATGGAGAAGGACCTCGATGGCTGGGGTTAGTTGGCAGGATGCTGTGGCCGGGGCCTGCGCAGGGGCAGTGGCAAAGACAGCAACGGCGCCAATGGAGAGAGTAAAGCTGGTGTGACTTGCCTGGGAGATTTCATTTGAGTTTCCTTGGTTCATGTACGACAATGCCAGCCTGCCACGCCTTTGGACGATAATTGTAAGACGCAATTGCTTTTCAGGTTGCAGAATCAGCAATTGTCTGTGGGCCATGCGGCAGAACTGCCAGTGCGAAATCTTGTCCATGGCATGAATCAGTGCCTCGGCCTGAAGCTTTCTTTTTTCCGGCCGCTTCAGTTTCTTACTTTTCCTGTTGACTCAATTTGATGTTTGCACAGTACCCAGCGCAGCAAGAGCAGGGACCATGAACCTTTCAGGAACCGCACCCTCAAGGAGTTGCAACATGCTGGGCCAACGGGGGGGGTTAGCCCCGCCGGCAACATAAATCCCTGGTCTTTTGGGGTGGGGAGGGTGTGGGGGGGGGGTGGGGTCAGTTTCGTTCGTGCTACTACCCGCGCACATCGACTTTGACGTTGATTTGTCGACTCGGTGACCTTTCGTTCGCTCGGTGACCATTCGTTCGCTGGACTACTCGCTTTTCTTGGCTTACAGGACATGACGGGCTCAACGTTCGAGGTTTGTTTTAGCACTGCGTAGAGTGGGTCTTCTTGGCCGTTGCGATGCAAAGCTGCAACGACAGCATGTTGAAGGCCTCGCAGCCTTGTGGTTCCGCCAACATCCAGAATTGGACTCGATGCTCGGGGCTGTCAGAATACATAGAGAAACTGTGCAAGACACTTGCCTGCCAGCTCAAATGTACATCTGAGCTCAAATGGCTCAATTAGGAACAAGACTGATGTCTGGCGGCTGGAAAATGAGCCTTGGCAAGCTGTACATGGAGCAGGCGGGTGGGTTGGGTCCGTCAAAACACACTCAACTTATCGTCTTGCAACTCATGAGTTGCAAGACGATAAGTTCAGTGTCCGGAAAGCCACGAAGCCCTGTAAAGCACGGTTTTTTCACCCTCGGTGTGTTGCGTTCGGGGCTAACCCCCCCGCTTACCCAACATGCTGAAGCCAGTGGTTCCCTGTTCACTTCGAGGCTCTTGCAGGAACCCATGGGCTTTGCAGGGCTTTGGCGTGGCAACCTCTCCAATGTCATGAGGGTTTTGCCCACGTATGGTGCCAGGTGGGAGACGGAAAGACAGATGGCGCTAAGACGGCCGTCACATCCGTCCGTCTGTAAGTAGTTCTCAGTAATACTCCGACTTGTGAGAGGTTATCAGGGAAGAACGGACTTGACTTTCAGTGTTGTTGCTGACTAGTACTTGTTGCAAGCTGCACCAGATTCTGGCTATTCACTTACTTTGACTCCGCCCTCTCCTGGGTGCCACAGAGCGACACGAGGCGCAAGCAACATCCGGTTGCATTTGTGCTAGTTTGCATGCCTGCAGGATCTTTATCATTTGCGCGCATTCTTTCGTTTGCAGGAAAAAACGTACTTGCTGAGATGGGCATTGTTGCATCCCTAACTTTCTCTCCCTACTACCAAGCCTACACCTGTGAGCTGTGCTATGTGCTGTTTGGCAGGCGCTTCATTTCTGGCGGTCTGGCGGGAGTTGGTGCCCTCTTGCTGACCCACCCACTGGAGCGTCCTTTCGGTCGGTAGAGGTGGTGAAATACTTGAACAGTGACCATTCGTTGTTATATATATACAATTCTAGGTGATGGTTTCGGATATTTTTGTTTTCAACCCTAACTTGGGGATGATTGGACCCTCTGACTAATATTTTTCAAATGGGTTGAACACACCAACCAGTTAATTATGATATTGTCATTGTATTTCGTTTTAACAATATATTTGTACGACACATTCTTTTTCCATTATTGTTGTTAAGCTACAGTAGCCATTAAGTAGGACCTATTAGGTAGTGGGCGCTCCTAGGTAGGACGCAGGATAGCTTGCGCTTTTCATTTGGTATCATGGTGTGGTACCACACTTGCCTTCAGATCCCTATTCACTTGCTGCCAGGACACTGTGCGCACACGTTTGGCGGCTGCCCGAATCTTTGCCGATGAAGTGTCATACATAGGCTTCATGGAGACTTGGTCCAACTCGATGCGGGCAATTGTTCGAACCTAAAGAGTTTTAGGTTCCACTGAGGGACAGCAAGGTTCTGTTTTGTTGATCCGTCTCCATGCCAGGCTTGTCCTTGGCTGCTTGTGGACAGAGAACAATCACATGTCCTTGATTTTACCAACTTTTCTCTCGTGGATGGATAAGCTTTGGAATGTTGGTTCTCATGCATGTCATTCCTTTTCTGTGATATTGAATGCTAGCCTTGGAGAGTGCTCGGACACCTCCCTAGGACTGCGTGAGCCAAACTTGGGGGTCCCGTGGAGTGGCTGGTCTTTATGCAGGTTGTCTTGCAAGCATGCTTGAAATAGCTCCCTACACTGCCATTGCCTTCACATCGTATGAAGGCCCTGGGTACCAAGAAAGTCCGTCGTAAACCTGAGCAAGGCAAACATCCGAAAGGAAGGGCGGAATGCAGTGTGAAACAGACGGCAATACTTCACAGACAGATAGGGTGCAGTGTGAAACCTCAGTGTGCTGTCCACGGGCCTCCACCCTCACACCTGAAGGCTTGAAGCAACGCTTGATGGTCCCTGGTGCAGCGGGCAGTCCTTTGTGGTGCCGCCAGGTCTTTGCAGGCGAGTGTAGCTCTAACAAGCTTCTTATGACATGCACGTGTAGATCAAGTCCCTTCATTACCCCACTTGCCAAATTGAAGCAGAGTCAAGTGCAACCCGATGATCCAACAGCGGGTGAGCTTGGACATGTTTGCCCTAAGGTTTGTGCAGCGGTGTTGCTGCAACCACCATGTGCTACCCGCTGGATACTGTAAGGCGCCAACTGATGCTGGATGGTGCACTGGGCTTTGATTCCAGATATCAAGGCAGCATACTGCGGTGCTGCAAATACTTGTGGTCACAAGGTGTGGTGCTTCCCTTTTATCGAGGATGGAGTGTGACGCTGCTCAAAAGTGTGCCGTCTGTATCCATCACTTTTCTCACCAAAGATCTCTTGCTTGCGGAGATGCGACGGAGATTCTGAGATTCGCCGCTCAAGCAGAAGCGCGAGTCTCGATTCCAGTCCAAAAGTCCCAGCTTTGTGAGCGGCGAAGGAAGAGTCGTGGGATTTGGCCATGCAGAGTTGTCGCGTAGGGAGCATATGCAACCTGATTCAACCCCACGGAAACGAGGGAGCACATGCAATATACTGTCCAAAGATGTTATACTGTTTTGCAACTCTGAAGAGATTCCATGAGAGTGTGCAAGAGGGCTGAGGTCTAGAGTCTCGTAGGTGTATCTTGCCTCTGAAATCGCTGGCTTTCGTCGAGCCGGAACTTGGTCCCTTCAGGCCAATAGTGTTGGCTTTTACCAAATTACCAAGTGCCTTGGCAGATTTGATGGAACGAAGTTAGCACCTATCAATGGATGCGGTTCGCCTTTGTACCTCGTGTTCCTGTTCCTTTTTGTTGTCTACACACTCTGTTGTGTGTCTGGGTGAATCTGTCAAGGCTGCTCATCATTCCAACTGTTATGGGTGGGAGTCTCGGCCAACAGACTGTGGCGCAACAAATGAGAGCTTGAGAGCCAAGGGCTTGAGCGACTACAAGGGCGGCATGTAGTCTATACTGATCGGGCTTGAGCCTAATCTCTTTCTTTTTTCCGTATCGTGTTTCTTTATTTGTTATTCTGCAGTGCGAATGGAAGTGCAGCGACACGTACAGTGCAACTTGTACATATATATATATATATGTACCATATGTACTTTGGCTCAAGGATCAAGCGACTAGAAAAGGTGCGGTTTCCGTTCCGACGCTACGCCGCTTATGGATCGTCAGTGATAGCTTCAAACTTCGCTGATTAAGATCCACTCGCAGGTTATCAGCCGTACGCGCTCTTTATAGCCGTACGAGCTACACGAGACCAAGAACAAGACTAGTCATTACAGAAACCTGCAATGTCAAGCTCAGGAGGAAATGGAAGCGAACCCTATTCATTCGCTGCTCCTGGTGGTCCCAACACCATTTCGTCACCAGACTCTACAATGGGTACTGACTCATCAGCAAATGCTGGCGTTATCACTATGCCTACTGGATCACAAATCTCGGAAAGATCCGTGCCACCGGCTCGGAATCTGACCGATCTTGCACCCGTAGGACCAAGAAGATCGATGAGAGCTACAACAAGATCTACATCGCCTATAACGTCTACCGCGAGATCCCCAAGAAGGAGTATAGAGAAGAGACGTGACGATGATAGAGGAACAAAAGAGCAAAGAAGAGAGATTCAGCTGGGTGAAGAATTGAGATCGGCGAGAAACGCATACAATTTTCTTCATGAAGAATATGAATGCATCCAAGCCGGATACTCACGACTACACCACGAGGCTGAAGTGGAGTTCAGGCAAATGTCTGACTACAACAGGAAGATGCAGGAACATCTACAAGAGATGACACAGGAAGATGAAGGAGCGACAATAAGAATTGAAGAGCTCGAACACAAGCTACGCTTGGCGGAATCGACAGCTGAACATATCTACATGAGATATCAAGAGCTTGCACAAGAAACTCATCAAGAACATTCAGAGCTTGAATCTGTGAAAGCAACGAAGGACAGAATGTCCCAAGAGCTTCAAGCAGCAATTGGACACATCCAAGAACAGAATGAATCTTCATTGGCGATCAATAGAAGATCAAAAGCCATTCAGGATGAGAACACAGCCTTCGTCGGAATAGCTGACCAGATACAAGCTAGAATGATTGCGCTACAGGATGAGAATGTCAACATGCACGAGGTGATCCAACACCAGAGAGAAGAACAATGGAACAGTGAGGTCAGGGAAAGACGTCTTCAACACAGTGTTCACTCATCTCAAGATCAGAGCAATCAGGAAGCTATGGTTATTGATCATCTACGAGGTCAACTAGCTATGGCGCGTGGAGCTGAACTCAACGCGAGAGCGGAGATAGAAGAGATGGAAGTGGGCATGAGGATGGAGATGTTTGTATGCCAGACTGAAGTCTCTGCTAAAGAAATGGCAGAAATGAAGGCGAGCCACCATGAATACGAAGCAAACGTCGCAAAGGAGGTTATTGCAAAAGGAGAAATATTCAACAACGAAGTCCTAGAAGGTTCCATCCGTGAACGACAACAGTTGAAAGACGCCAACCTCGCTCTATCCGAAGCCAACGCACAGCTGACAAGAGAGAATATGATGAGAGTCCTATGTTCGGCGATGATGGTGCTGAAATTCAACAGAAGATCAGGGAACTGGAGAATGCACTATTGGAAAGCCAGAAGGAGACAAAGAATGTCATTATGGAAAATGCGAAATTAAAAGCAGAAGCACGAATGGCATCCATAGTCTCTCGGTACAGCAAGCGTCCTAGTTCCAGAGACCGCGGGTTACCAACCCACGCGTCCGAGGAAGATGAGATTCGGAACGCAAAAGAGGAGGCGAAGCACTACAAGGACGGGTACAATGAAATGACAGAGAGCCGAGATGAGATGTATGAATGGTATGCCGAAACCCACAATGAGTACGCCGAGGAAAGGGAGAAATCAATTGAGCTATCCGAGGCGAATAAATCATTGAGGGACAAGATTTCAGAAGCAGAAGCATCCTCTTCATCTCATCTTGCACCGGCAACCTCTACAATCATGAAAGTATCGAGGAAGGAAGAATCAAAGATAAACGTTCCGTCATGGCCCAGGATCAATGATCTTGGACTATGGAAGGCAAATCTCATTCAATCGATCATCATTGCGGCCAATGATTCAGATCAAGAGCCCTGGATCGACTGGATCAAAGAAGCCATGGACGATCCTGATCCGGACAAGTTTGTCGACTCAGGAGACCAAAGATTCCATTCAATCGATGCCAAACTCGGCCTAGCTCTTACCAAGGTCGTCATGGATGCGAAAGATGATGGTTCAGGTGTAGCTATGAAGTTGAGGACGAGGATCAATGCAAAAGGGAGAACATCAAGCCTCATAAAGGGAAGAGAGGTCCTAGCCCTGATCCTTATGAATTTCAAGACAACATCAAATGTGGAAGTCTTATATACTTCAATGCACCTCTACCAACTAGAATATCAAGGAGACAAGAACTTATCGTTGTTCTTCCACACTTGGGATGAGATTCTGGCAGGAATGAAGCCCGTTGACGTCCCGAGCGACGAAACTCTTCGGGATCTCCTATGGAGAAAGATCAGGAACTCAAACCTCATGGCATACGACATCAGCGCCTACAACAGCATGAACGACGATGATGCCAAGAAGACATACAAACATCTACGTGATATGATCAGAAGGCACATTGAACGGCAAACTGAAGACAGGATGATCCTGGAAAAGGAGAAGGCAGTGAAGAATGTGGCCAATATCTTTCAGAATCTCAAACCAGGCGGACCTGCTCCAAAACTGAAAGCTGCACCAGCTGATCCGAAGAAGAAACCAAAAGGGCAACAAGAACAGGTTGTCTCAGAAGACGCTGCTGCAGTGAAGCCGAAACCCAATCCCAAGAAGCATCCTGAAGACAAGAACAAAAAGGGAAAGGGGAAAGGTAAAGGTGATGGAAAGGATCGCAGCCGAAGTCCGAGTACAGACAAGAAGAAGATACCATGCAAATACTTCGTGAAAGGTAACTGCACTATGGGGAAAGATTGCCCATTCAGTCACAAGAAACCCAGATCACCATCCAGAGGATCTTCTGTCGGAAAGAATGACAAGCCAGTATGTTGGATGTGGATTCGAGGAACTTGTGACAAAGGGAAGGATTGCAAGTTCTACCATGACCCAAAAGCCTCTCCTAAGAAAGGGATATCTGCACCAGCTGACTCAGGAGACGATAGGCCAAAGCCCAAGGCAAAACCCAAACCGAAGCCTAAGGCGAAGCCTGGAGCCCCAGCCATTGACGGTGAACTCTTCATGGACGAATCCGAAGATGAAGGGATTGCTGCATCCGCCAAGGCAAGAGAAGGAGGTGCAAAAGTATCCTTTGATGAAGAGACTTGTGAGATCATGTTGAGCGAAGCGATCTACTCAGTCAGGAACAAATGGAAGGTAGTAGAAAGGAAACCTCTACGTCCAGACATCAAACGATACGATGAGAAAGAGCTCACCTGCTACGCGAGGAAAGAACAAATCAGATTTGAAGAAAAGGTCGCAGAGGCAAGAGGCATATTGATGGTCCCCTACACTGAGATCAAGAGGGTCCGAATACCAGTTGGACCAAAGGGTGACCTATCGGTCACTATGTCTTTTGACGAAGATGACGGCCTAGTTGTCCATCATAAAGTCATTCCTCATGTATGCGAGGGAAAGAAAGATCATGCAGACACAAAGACATTGTCTATTCCAGCCAAAGGGTCAAGAACGAAGTTCATCATGGACACAGGATGTGGATATGATTTGATATCGAAAGGCAGAGCCAAGAAATTAGGTCTGGAAGTGAGAGAAAGCGACCAATCAATGTCATTCTATACTGCAAATGGAGTGACATCCACAAAAGGAGTCGCCGACATTCATTTCGACGAATTTGACTCTACCTACTCCCCATTCGTCCTAGATGAGTCTCCTTCAGTACTGTCTGTTGGAAAGAAATGCATGGAGGAAGGATACACATTCATATGGCCAGCCTGCGGCAACCCGTACATGGTTTCCCCGAACTACAAGAAAATCATGTTAGAAGTAGAGGGAAACATCCCATATATTGTCAAGGGCAGTGACTTCTGTACTCCCACCGACGATACAAGGGCGGAGATGATCGCAAGGTTCACCCTAGGAGAAGATGAAGCTGATTACCAATCGACTTTCATCAACTGTGATGTGGATCCTCAAGGAATCATGTGTGATGATGACGACCTTCCTGTGATTGAGCCTCCAAAAGTCAAAAGGCGAAAGAGGAATAAGAAGTTCAAGGCATCTCCGGGAGAAGAAGATGAGGTAGGATCAGATGTCGCCGGAGACAGTGAACCAGAAGCTGACGATGATGATGCAGATGACATCGAGGTGGATGTTGTTGACGGTGCAAGTAGAATGGTGAGAAGAGGAACTCTGAAAGCAGATGCCAGGAAAATCGAGCATCTACTCACACATCGTTACAAGAATCCCTACTGTGAGTCATGCATCAGAGCAAAGATGAAACACTTCAAGACGCATCGAGGAGCGTTCAAGAGAAAGCTCAAAGCTTTTGGAGATCTGGTTACCTTTGATTTTGTCGATACGAGGAACATCCTTGATCAAGGGATCAGTACTGATCGAGAGATCTTCGTCATTCGTGACAGGTACACAGGCGTCATATGGGCCTATCCGTCGAAAGAGAGGTTTACCAAGGACGTGGTCAATGCAATAAACCACTTCAAAGGATTGAAGAAGATCAAGATTGCTTATGCCGACAAAGCCCCAGAGTTTGAGACGGCTATGAAGCAGCTGAAGATCCCATTCGATCACTCTCTACCGAATCATCCTCAGAACAATTCTCTGGCGGAGAGGAACAATCAGTTCATTATGATGACAACCGCAACTTGTCTCTTGGAAGCAGGGTTACCACCATGTTTCTGGAGCTATGCAGTAGAATGCGTCAGCCATCTTTTGAACATTGAGGAAGGAGAGGATGGAGTGAGCCCTTGGTAC